GAGAGCGTGCGCGTCGAAAATAGCTTTCCGGATTGGGGTCTTATGCGCGATTCTGACACCTGTAGCCAAAGTTATGGCCAAAAGACTGAATACTCAAAACGACCCCAATGAGGAACATGTCACAATCAATTCCCGCCATTGCGCTGATCTGCCAATTCATGGTATCTCAGCGCCATCAAGGTGCAATCTGTCAGCTCAGCATCATCTGTCTCGGATCCCCTACATCACTAAGCAACCAGTATCTTCCAAAAATTGTAACGCATATTTCCTTTGAGACAGAAATATCAGTCTTGTTGCGAGCAACTTCAAAGCTTAGGAAATAACGCAAAGGACTAGTACTCTCAGCTTTAAATGACGCTGCAAAAAAAATCTTGGATCCCAGTCAAGAGTTGCAAATCATTTCCAACTAGGACGATATCATCTACATAGACTAAAAAAACCACAAAATTATCACCAACACCTTTTGTGAACAAGGAATACTCAACAAGATACTGTTGAAAGCCAAATTTTAAAACAACATTCGAAAAAGCAGCAAACCATTGTCTGTAAACCTGCTTGAGTCCATATATAGACTTGTGTAGTTTACACATCATATTTGAACCATGCAATTAAGTGTTATATCCGAGAGGTAATTTCATATAAACCTCATCTACCAAGGCCCCATTCAAAAAGGCATTATTAACATCTAATTGGAGAAGATGTTAATCATGCACGGCTGCTAGAGTAAGAAGTAACCTGAAAGAAGTCATCTTAGCCACAGGTGAGAAAGTGTCCATGTAGTCAACTCCTTCGACCTGTGTGAAATCTTTAGCCACTAACCTCGCCTTGTAACAATCAAACGTATTATCAGCCTTGTGCTTAATGCGATAAACCCATCTACAATCAATAGGCTTATTTCTTTCAGATAGAGGAACTATGGACCAGATATGTAAAGATTCCATCACTCGAAGCTCTTCATTCATCGCTTCTCTGCAGGAAGATGATTTTACTGCTTGATGATAAAAAAAAAGTTCAACATGGGAAGAAACATTAGCTATAAAAACCAGAGTACTCAGGAGATAATTTTGTTGAAGAGAGATGATTTTCAATAGGATAACTACAAGCAGTACTACTATTGCAGTAATACATTTACAGGTAGGAAGGTTTCTGAGATACATGAGCAGACCTAAGATATGGCATTTGAACAAATTGTTCTATAGCAAACAGTCTCAGGAACAACAGATTCAGTAGGAACATGCACCGCATGCACTAAATCATCAACATGAGATGCAACAGGTTTTTATTGATCATCCAACGATTCAGTTTACTTAGAATCAAAAGAGCAATTAGGAGAGTCATTCAATAATTCAGGTTCTTGTAAGGAATTTTGAGAAGGAAGATCAACTGGATCGAGAACAACATTTTGCAAAGAAAATTCTTTGAAAAGATCAACAGAATAATCTTGCATATGAATGCCATGAAAAGGAAAAATATCCACATGAAACACAACATCTCGAGAAATCACAAACTTCTGAGACTGCAAATACACCTTGTAACCATTCATACCAGATGGATACCCAAAAAATACAACAGGTAAGGCGCGAGATGAAAATTTGTCTCGTTAAGACTTTAATGTGGAAACAAAGCAAAAACAACCAAACGTATTTAAATGACCATAATCAGGTAGATAATCATTTAAAATCTCATATGGAGACTTCTTTCCTAATTTGGGTGAAGGAAACCAGTTAATAAAAAAGTTGCAGTGAGAAGACGATCGCCCCAAAATCGAATAGGAACTCTCAATTGAAAGAACAAGGCTCGAGCAACTGAAAACAAATACTGATGTTTTTGCTTGATAATTGAATTTTGTTGAGGTGTCTCAACACAAGAAAGCTGGTGTAGTATTCCCAAGCTAACAAAAAAATTAGTGAACTTGAGTTCAGGCGCATTGTCAGACCTAAAATACTTAACATCAAAACCAAACTGCCCCTTTACCATAGTAAGAAAAGTTGGAATAATAGAACCAACATAAGATCTATGTTGAAGCAGATAAGTCCAAGTTGCTATAGAAAAATCATTAACTAAGGTTAAAAAAGAAGTTTGCCTAGAGTAAATAGTATGCTTGTAGGGACCCCATATATCACAATGAACAAGATCAAAAAGCTGCTTGCTCCGAGTATAAGAAGTAGGTAACGGTAATCTTTATTGCTTAGCCAAAGGACAAATCTAAAAAAAACTCATTTCATTAATATCCTTCAAAGACAGCATTTTTAAGAAGATAAAGCACACTGGAACTAGGATGCCCTAGTTAATTATGCCAAGAAGTTGAAATATTACAATAAATGCTATTACAAAAGACATTAGAAAAAGAAGGAAACAGCTGCAGCAGATACAACCCTTAATGCATCCCACTCGTCCCAATCACACGATGCAAGTCTTGAATTGAGCATTTTGTTTTGGAAAAAAGCACATTGAAATCAGAATTACATGTCAAAGAACTACAAGATAACAAGTTAAAATGAAATTCTGGCACAAATAACACATAATGGAGCACAAAGTCAGAAGAAAATCTAACTGTTCCAGCAAAACCAACACTGATGACAGATTTGTCTGGTAAAATCACAGAACCTCCTGAGATGGGAACCATGGACTCAAAAAGCAATCGTGAAAAACAAACGTGCTTAGACGCACCAAAATCCAATAGTTTGATTTCTCAAAATTCAAGCTATTTATTTGGGATAAAATCTCACCCTGCATAGTTGTGTTTATTGAAGATGAAAGGGTGTCACAGGATGACACAACCTGTAGTTGAGAAGTAAGCATTGAAATGAGCTACTGACGCTACTGAGGAGTCAGCTTCACTGGTCGAGGGATCTTTTTGATGAGTGGTGTCAGTTGAAGCAATAACTGAATTTGCATGAACATGATTGACCACCTTTGACATTTGAGGAATTAGAAGACCAATTCTTGGAAACATATCATGGGGGATAATCATGTAACTTGTAACATTTATCCCTAGCATGACCCAAAAGTTGCAGTAAGTACACTTTGTTCGATTCTTGCGAGTTCCATGAGTAGTCTTAACAGCAAAAATAGTCTCAGTAACATGAGTAACACCTTTAACTATGCGTTGGTTCTCTTCTTGTAAAATCAAAGAAACGCCTTTGATATTGATGGCGAAGGATCCATCAAAAGGATTTTCCCTCTGATGTGAGAGTAAGAATCATTTAATCCCATCAAGAACTGAATAACTTATTCTTGTTTTTCATCGAGCATTCGATGTAGCCCCCCACAATTGCAAGTCAACACGTACAAACTTGCTTGATAGAAAAAAGCTCATCCCAAACAATCTTGAATTGAGTGTAGTAAGTACTTACAGTCGATTGACCTTCAACCAAGACATTGAGAAGTTTCTTTGACTGAAACAATCTAAGCCCATTTGATTGCTAAAACCAATCAACAAGGTTCTTTCATATCTCAGCTGTAATTGTGTGATAGAGCAAACTGGCAGCTATATCTTTGGAAACTAAATTCAAAATCCAAGAATTCACAAGATTGTTAGCCCTAGTCCAAGCCTGAAACATCTCGGTTGAAGAAGGGTTAGGAGCAATAATCGACCCATCTACAAACCCTAACTTGTTCTTGGCAGAAAGCGCCAGCACCATATATCTTTTCCAACTGTGAAAATTATCAATGGACAAATGTTGGGTAACCAAAATCATGTCTGGATTATCAGATTTATGCAAGTAGTAGGGGTTGCTTCGATTATCGAAACTATATTTCAAGTCCAAATGAAAGCGTGATGAAAAAAAAAAACTGGTACCATATAATGATTGTAACAAGGACAGGAAATGAACAATTAATACTTGATTGCATTACTTCAAAATTACTGAAATAATAACCTAAAGAAATATGAAAAAAAAACAAAGATGAGTGGCTTACCTAATTAACAAATATATTTACTCAAATAATAATATTTAACATAAAACATCATTTTTTATTTAATAATACCAAAATCTCTTTCATAATTTAAATCAAATGTTTTGATTATAAAATTAATAATATAATATATGAATATGATTGTGTGGATTCATTTGAAATCAAACTCACATGTATCGATCTTTTAAACCTTAATAATGCTACTTTCCTATTTATCTCACGTGACTATGCTCCCATAAATTTTACTCCACAAGATTCTAAGTGGGTAAAAGACACATAGTCTCACGTGTCCTCGAGTTTAAAGAAGATCATATATATTTTCTTATTGAATAAATTTTAGTTAAAAATATAATTATATCATTTTTATTATTTAAAGCCTATTCTCTAGTTCTTTTACTTTGGTTTCAATTATAAAATAAAAATTTTAATAAAAAATTAGTATAAAACAAAATATACTTTAAAATACTGTACTACTAAATTATACACAAATTACATTTGAGTTTCAAGTAAAATTCAATATTTAAAATTATAATTAACTTGACAATATATTAGCATTGAAATGAATTTATTTAATTATATTTATTTAAAATTAATTAGGCGCTATTTAGATTATTTCAATGAATTTGTTTGGTTAAAATATAAAATTAATTTGAATACTCAATTAAGCTTTCTTATTTTTAATTCCCGTTAAGGTCCGACTCAAACCTAAAAATCAAATTCAAAATTAACAATAAAATTGAAACAACCTTTACTGAAGAAACATAATTAACCAGATTCAATCTTAAATACATCCATGACATAAAACTAATCTGTCTTTTGAGTCAACTAAATCCACCCATAAGTTTTACTCCACTTTGACATTAAACTAGGCTTGAATATAAAACACAACCTAGCTTTGTGTAATCCAGAAATCTTTAGTCACGTTTTTCGAAGTTCTGAGTTAACGTAGCAGACAAACATTTGGAAAGCAGGCAGGCAATTGAGAAGGTAAACCCCGGTTGGCTCAAAAGTCCCATGGCCATGAGTGGCCATCTGATTCACGATGGCTTTTGTGGGCAGCTGCCAATATGATCCCACCATTGTTTGTCGGATTTGTGATTCTCTATCCATTTGTTTCTTTACCACTTCTCTCAAATTCCCCAGTACCAATAAACAAAATCTTTTGGTTCTTAAAAGCCGACACATGTAAGATACTTCTAGCAACATTAAATGAAATGGAAGTCATGGAAAGTTGACATACAAACAGTTGATGCTACTCGAACAGTGCTATAACTCTTTGAAATGTCTTAAGCAAACCGCTTAGACGAGCAAAATTGCATTTATACAGCCATCATTTTCTGGGTTATTTGTTACTTGAGCATATTTTCCTGCACTCATCAGAACCAATTCAAATAAGCATTAGAATAATAAAGAAAAACTAGAATATAGATGGTTCATGCATGATTGAGGATTAGGAACTTTACCCCAAACAACTTTCCCAGCTGGTGTGACCAGACCCAATTCACTTACGTTAACCTGAACACGACATAAAGAGAATCAGTACCGACAATGCCGAGTAAACAGAAGTCATGAACAAATTTGTGGGGAAAAACAAAAACTTACCTCAATGATAGTTCCTTTCGTCATAACACCAAGAGAGGTATACATAGGACCATTGGGATTTTTCTTCACCCCAATAATGTCAAGATTGAAGGTACACTTGAGCTCAGGGTGTGTAACATGTGCTTTGGTAAATCGCAATCCTGAAGGACGGATGAAACGCTCATATTTTGGAGGTTTTCTTGTAAAACCAGGTCCTACAAAAGTGCACTTCGTAACCATCTCTTGCTTAGCTGCAAGAATATATTAACATATAAGAACCAGAATCTAGTAAAAACACATCGTTTATCCTCATAAATTGTACAACCAAACTCCAGATACAAAGATCGTGTTTCTTTAATTGTGATATGAGAAAGGGAATAAGCAAATACCTCATACTTACTTTTTCTTTTACCAGACCTGATGACCTTAAACATCTCATCTTCAGCGACCGGCCGGACCTGAAGGACAAAAGCTTGAAGTCAAACAAATGTAGTTACAAAAAAAAAATTAAAAACAGGGTACAGAAGAAAATTTGAGAAAGAACATATTAAGATTAAACAAACAGAAAAGATTGATAGTTTAATTACCTTGGGTATAGGGACTCCATTTTCAGCTTTCTCTTTCCTCTTTACTTTATGGTGTTGCTAAGAACTAGCATTGCACAATGTTATATGCATTGATGACATAAATATAGGTACTAATGTAATAGACTCATCTATCAGCTTACCTTTGCACGTGTGGTGTTTTCACGATCCATAAGATAGGCAGGAATAGCTCCATCTTGAACTTCGTCATCCAACTTTCGCCTAGTTGACGATTCCTCATGCATAGCCAATCTGTTGACATGATGCAAACACAATTCCAAATTCTTTTTAATTAAAAACAGGACAGGAATGAAGCAACAATAGCTTTTTAAAAACAATGTACATCTTAAAGCAAGAAACCAATGTCCCAAAAGGTAAGTTTCATGACTCCTAATTCTTTCATGTAAACAAAACCGCGTAAACCATAGGTATGTTTGACTACTTCATTTACATGTTTGAAGCGGTCATAGAAGAACACCATTCATGTTGCTCTAACTCTTCATTTCGTTTGATGTACTTGTATTCATGTTTGAAACATATTTGAACATAAATGGGATATCAGGATATGGCCTTCCAAATAAATGAAGAAAAACTGTAAAAATTGAACATACATCTCGAACACCAATCCATATCTTACACTACAGAAGCCAGTACATAGCATCCATAATGCAACTTAGATCCCAAAAGAAATACATGCATTAACAAGAGTACCAACTCACTAAGGAAAATCTACAATTATGGACAACATAAAAATGAGAAACCCGTGACAACCTAATAAGTGGCATGAATAAGACATCGATTTAACAAAAGACAATATGTCCACCATCACCATGGACATTAGCACTACGAATTAACCATCAATTCAAATTCAATCAGCTAATAAGATATTAAAAAGAAACAAATAACGATAACCCTTCCCGTTCAATATGGGACACCGAAGCCCTAATTGGAGTAAAAACAATACTGGGAAAATAAGAAGAAAATAACAGAAGACTCGCGTTTTCTTCATTAGGGCCTTCTCAGCATAATTTTTCTTGGCAATCATCTTACCCTTGATACCAAGGGCCTGCCATAACAATGTAACGAAGAATAGCTAAAACAAAAGCGGGGAATGGAAGAAAAAAATTAAAGACCTTTTGAGCCTTAGCAGAACGCTCGTGTACTTGACGAGCTTCCTTCTTACGCTTCTTCTCGAAGAAGTCATGGCGATAACCATGCCTCTTTCTGTGTAGCTCTATGTAATCACCTTGCGGCTAAACACAAATAAACAAGAAAATTAGCAACAGTTACGAAATTCACCGATTCAAAATTAGTTCTTCAAAAGGATAATAAAAAAGGGATAGAATTCGAAAGAAACCGATTCAAAATTAGTTCTTCAAAAGGACAATTTTTGTGGACAAAAAACAAATCGGATTCATCTTACCTTTGGGCTGGACTTAAATGGAATCATAGGCTTGAGATTATAAGTGTTCAAACTGGTAATTCGGTTAATCAACCGAATCGATTTTTTTCTAAAAAGTTTAACTGAATTGAATTAAGTTATGTTAATTGATCGGTTATCGAATTAATCAAAATTTATTAAGAACATATAAATAATATATATTATATATTTAATATTTTTTGTTTATTCGATTAATTTAGTCGGTTAATTCGGTAAAAATGAGTTCAAACACCCATAAAGCTAAATAATATATATATAGATATAATATTAAATATTTAATAATTTCAGTTAATTATGTTAATTAACCGATTTCAAATTGAATTCACTGAAATCGAAATTTGAAAAAAATCATTAACCGTTAACTGGTCGAATCTAAAATTAACCAACCAATTAATCGACCGAAATTTTGATTCAGTCAGTTAATTTGGTTTTAACTAAACAGTGAACACCCTACTTGAGAAGAATAAGTGTTGGGCCAATGACCTCATTATTTAAGGTTTTGTTTATTCAAAACCCCTACAAGACAGCAATTTCATATAATTTTGTTAAAAAAAACAGTTTTATTTATGCTTACATATAAAATGTCTTTTTTAATTATATTAAAAAAATTAAGTCAATTCGGATCTATCGAACGACATCAATAGTAAAAAAGAGTATTATTTTTTTAAAAGCTCTAAATTCAAACAATTACATTATAAAATATACATATATTATCAATAATTGAAAAAAATTTAAAACATATATTATCTTTCTCCACAAACAAAGCACCGACTTTATGAAAAAGAAAAACCATACAAGATAATAATTTGGATTGAAGCTATTCCCTCTTGCTACAAACAAAAAGCTTGGCATATTGACATACGAGTTGGGACCCCCTTTTTTTGTTTGTGCACCAACTAATCAAACGCCACTTTGCACCGCCAATCACCCGTCTAAAAGGAATCATCGATCTTCTTATATATTTGTTTAATTATTAATTTTAAAATTATGATAGGAAAAAGAAAATTAAAAAAAATGGTGAAGAAGTTCATGATTGATCCAATAAATAATCCAAAAGAATTTATACATATATAAATAGATAAAAAGAAAATAATATATATATATATATCAAAAAAGACCTTTAAGAGTGCGGTCAGTCCGTCACCTAATCAATAAGAAATGAAAAACCAGATCAAATTCTAAATTCTATGAAGGCTTCAAACACTGCTAAAAATGAAACCTTCTTGCGATTAAACCAAAGGAAGGTTACAAAAAATACAAATTTAGAATCATAACGCTCAGACAAAAATAAAAGAAAGGGTAATCTCTTCCTCAATTAGAAGACCATCAGAGACGGGTAATCTCTTCCTCAATTAGAAGACCATCAGAGGCAACTAAGGTCCAGAACCCATGCTAATCTATGTAATAATCACTGAAAATGAGCCTCCGCCTACCTGTGCTCTTCTCACTTGTTTTGTTTTCTTCTTATTGAAATTTCCAAAAATTCAATAATAGACGTAACAAGTAAAATCAAAATCACCATAATAATATTAAGAGTCTCATAGTAAACGAGATGTTATTCTCATAAATTCGAATTACTATTTATGTAAGAGGTGTACATTACCAATTAATTAAGGAACTTCTAAAAACCCGAAGAATATAAAGATCCGTGAAGAAGAGATACCTTCCAAATAGGAAACAATTGAAGGGGAAGAAAGAGTCGGACCAAGCTCAATAAATAGGGTAAATTACAATAATGGCCATTTTTGTTTTAGTTTTATTCATTTTTTTCATCAACATTTTTTTAAGTATATATGTGGTTCAGTTATATTATCACTTTATTGTCTTTTAAATGTTGAGACGTTGATTCCTGTTGATTTATGACATGATAAGTTAATGAAAAGAAATTATTTTTAATTTTATTCCTAAACTTTAAAAAGTTTATTTTGCATCCTTTTCTCAACCTCTCTTTCTAGAAAAAGAAAACAAGTTGTATTATCTTCTCTAATACAAATTTTAGACTTGTTATCTCCAGTACCACACTCCTTTTATATGTTCAGTCGCTTCATTCCCTTCTGTTAGCGTTTGATTTGTCACAAATAAAGCTGTAATTTATTAATCTTTGTTTGTAGTATCTCAATACAAAATATAAGCTTCTGATTGTTTTCACTGACTACTTATTTTGGTTCTCTGCATATTGCAAAGCTTCAAGATGAAAACAGAGCCCTCTATCGTCTAACTAAATCAAAAGAAGCAGCTTTGCTTTTTTGGGTAAACTACACATTTACTACAACAACTATCACATTTGTTTCATTTTAGTCACCTAACTATTTTTTTGGAAGGTATAATGCTAAAATTAGCCCCCTCCAATGTTTACTAAAATGGTCATCTTGGTCTCTATTCTTTTTTTGGAGCATTTTGACCCCAAAGTTTCATTTTGGGGGAAAAAGGCCTCTCTATGAATGGAAAATTATAGTTAACAAACGATTAACGCTATAAAATAGGGGGTTTTACTTTAAAATAAAATGTTGAGGGATAAAATACTTCAGAAAAAATAAATGTCAAAGTGACTATTTAGTTAAATGTTACTTTTTACCCTAGAATGAAAGATTTGTGGCCAAAGTGTTAAAAAAAAAAGAATTGCAATCAAAATGACCATTTCGGTAAACATTGGGAATTAATTTTGGCATTATGTTTTTTTCAAAAATATACCTAACGTTTAGTTTTAGTTTTATTTATATTAGTCGTTATTAAAAGATTAACTGTGATGATGATATGTCATCATAGGATAATGTCACATCATCATTGAAAAATTTAAAATACCACATTACCAGTTCTATTAATTTTTTAAAAACAAGTGACCAAAATGAAATCAAAATATAATGTTAAGTATAATTTTGAGAGAGAAAATAATAAAATGATCAAAACTGAATATACTAAACGTGTAATTTACCCTTACTTTCTTAATGAAAGGACCGTACAAATTGTGTTGGTGAAAGCATCTACTGTAGTCTGGTGGTAGATGATCTCCAAAACATAGGGAAGTCTCACGTGCAGCACCCTAATATATGACTAAGAAAATATGCTATCGGAAATGTTATTATTTTTTTAACATTTTCGGTAAAAATTTAACTAAAACATTATTATTTCTAACGGAAATGTTATCATTGAGTTTTTACCGGAAATGTTTAACATATATGGTAAAGCGCTACCTAAAACATTATTTTTTCTAGCGAAAATGTTAATATTGGGCACTTCACCGGAAATGTTAAAAAACATTAATGTTTTAGGTAAAAAAAAAAATATTGTTTTAGGTAATTCTTTACCTAAAATGTTAAAAAAATAATAACATTTTTTGTAGCGTATTTCCTTAGCCGTATATTAAGGATGTCGTGCGGCAGAACTACCCAAAACATAAACCACGAGTTGATGAAGTTATCACAACAGTTATCGACTACGAGTGAGAGGTCCATACAGTTATGTCGTTAGTTTTGTAACGTTAAATGACTACAATGAAATTTTTTAAATAGTTTTATGATTATATTGTTAAAATTAAAATTATGATGATTATATCAATATCAATCTCATAATTAACTGGCCTTTTGAGTAGTTTACCCAATAAAATTTTACCAATATATTTTCATAAAAAATCTAAGTGAATATATTATAAAAATAGCCAAAATAATGATAATGCTCATTTGTTTGAGGTTTTTCATAATATTTTATCTTAGGATTTTTGTCGATCGAACTGATTACGAGTTGAGTAAAGCTTGTTTTGATTCGTGTTCAACTTGACTTTATATTCGATAAGTTACATAAAATAAGACAAATAATACATAATCAATATTAAAAATAAGACAAATAACATTCTTAAAAATTAATAAACTACTCACGAACTTACTGAATCGAATTGAGCCTTGAACGTCATTAAGATTTCGAGTTGAATTTGAATACGAATCGATCAAAATCAAACATTAATCGAATTTGAACTAAATCAAATTCGAGCCGCTCAATTCAGTCAATAACCTTAAGTTTGTGTTGAAATATATGTAGTGTAATGAATATGCCATGTGACTCTAAGAGACTAGCAAAGCGAAAAAATAGCTTGTGAAAGATCATTCTTGGTCAATCATATAACATCATGTGCGTATTACTTTATTATTTATAAATTAAATCAGATCAGAGCTGATTAAAATTTTCAATTAATTAACAGTAGGATATTATGACTTAATCAACAGTCTCTTTGTGTCGCATTGACCAACACTGTGATTTTACATGGGTATTCGATGATGCACATGTATTTCACCAATGACAAGTCAACTCAGTAACAGTGTTTGGATCTAAATCTGAACTAAAATCATATTTAATTCAGTTTATTTGATTTTTGAACTAATCACGTTGTTGATTCAGTTGACTGTTGGTTGATTTTCAGATATGTGGAACGAATAAATTGAACTGGTTGATCGATTAATTTTATTTTGGTTTTGGAAGTGTTTAATTCGACTTTAAAAACAATTAATTACACTCTTAATTTTTCTACTTAATTGAGTTTTAAAAACTGATATTAAATCAATTAGGTTATTGAATAAAAAAATTGAATCAATTAAACTCTTTTGATCAATTTTAATCGTTAAATTCTAATTTTTTTTTAGTTATTATTGTCACGTGAGATAATGTAGTTATGCCATATGAAATATACACCGTATGGACACATGCCTTTAGGTCTATTACATTATATAGATAAGACTATTGATAAGTTCACTCGACCTACTAAAATGAAATTCAAATTTTGGCGATTAGATCTATTTAATTTATCGATCTATTAATAATTATAACGGTAATATAATTGACACAACCAGTTAAAAATATTATAAATATCCCTCAATATAATCGAGAGAGGGATTGAAACCTTATACAATCTAGAGTCTAGACACCATCTAACCAACTCTCTTCCTTACATAAACATCATTCAACAATGGTTTTTTCATTGTTCACGACTCTTTATTCAAATAAAAAGATATCAATAATCA